CATATTGAACAGAAGTTGGCGCACATTTCGTCTAGGTGATGGGTGAAGTGTGCAAAATCCTGCAGCACCACTTGCACTGCATTCAGCTGACAGAGGCGGAAGCCAGTTGGACCTCTCCTCAGACTCAAGTATGACCACAGGTTGGGCGATCACTCGTCGCTCATTCGGCTCAACACTTTGAATAAATCAGACATCCAAGTGAGCGTGTCCCTTGTGGCTTGCATTTACGTTGGCCCTCCTACTTGTCTTTGTATACTTTGACTTTGAATTTCTTCAGACTCAGTCGAAAATTGATAAGCCAGACAGGGTGTCTTCAAATAAATGCATCTTTTGAAATGACCCATTTCCAAAAAGTGATTCGATATGCAAAGTACAATTTCCGGTAAAAATGGTCACTGAATAGGCATTCCAGGCACTTGATGGCATTGTTGCTGCTACGCCTTGGGACGGTTTATCTAAAATTCACGACCTACATGTAAAGCGAAGCGGTTTGACGAGGAGGAATTCGAATGAATTGAATAAGTCATTTCGAACTACATTTTGTGATGTTGGGACACGCTGTTCTGCCTACTTACGTTTTGTGAGGTAAGTTAAATCACTTTGGCAGCAGACCTTAGATGGGAATGCTTTGATGGCATGCCAAGTCAATACTTAAATGTCTATTTAGCCCCAGATTTAAAAAAGCCGCTCGGAGTAGAGTTAATCTGTTGACCCATGACAGTCCCACCGGGCCATTGTCGTTTCCACCTGCCTTACTGCCTTATCATTGACCATCTTACCACGCTTTTCAGCATATAATTTGCAGCATACTTTTGTTTAAGGCCATCTTTTATATCTCTTGTTACTCTATGTTGATTTTCTCGGTATCTTCTTATAATACAAACAGCCTTTCAAAATCTGCGATTTTGAGTGTTCAACCTCTCACCAGTCCACGCAGATTGTCCCACCATACCCGAACCACGAACGTTCAATGAGCAGTAAATGAAGACTGGATGATGTGGACGCTGACATGCCTTCCTTGGGAGTTCCTAGCGAGAGCGCTGCAGTCGTGCAAGTGGCGTACGTCAAAGAAAGTAGGTAGATTTGTTTGGCGGCCGACCTGGTAGATAATAGGCTTATGAGTGGGGGTTAATTGAGCTCGCCACACCGCATACACGACTAGTCATTGTGTTCCCGAATGTAAGAGGATATAAACCACAAAACGTATGAGTGTCAATAGAAAAGTTTCATCAGCTTTTACAAATGTAAATATTCATACCAAATAAATGAATATCCCGCATTTCATAACGACATCTTAAATCTAAACATGGGCGGACCTGTACCTATATAGTAATTCTGCAAACCATTCTAAAGGTGGAGCAATTCGCAGGGCGTAGTTGCTGACTGAGACACACGTACCTGTATTCTTCTCCAAGTGACATCTTGACATAACCCTTTGATTATATCCCATCATTAGTAATTTGGGAGACACCATCCTGGACGCATCACATTCGCCAGTTCATAAATGCAGATATTCGAGGGGAGTCATTCACAAAGCCTAATTCCTGCACACTCTCCATGCGAAAGCACATCCCACTTTCCTCTTTCTGTTTCACACCCTCCATTACTGTCACACGCAGTGCTTGATCAGACGACAAGTTCATCGCTACGGCTCGTAGTTCAGTTCCAATATGGGGGCATTGCTATGCAAACAATGAAAGCTTGGTGGTGTAGAGAACGCAGTCATAATGAGCTAGTGCTTCTCTTAACTTTTCTAGGCTTCTTTTACATTCACTGCCAACAAATTTCGTTATCTCTTGGTAAGAGGATAAATGCTATGTCCTCCTTACTCCGTTTACTGCAGTCAATGCATTTATGCCTGAATACATACATGATTACAAAGCAGAAATGTGTACCTGTACTTACTGGTTATTTAGGCGGTATTCTTGTTCAATCTGCTTAGTTAAAGCAAATTTGATTACAAATTCAGTCGTAAAATGCAACTGCCGTTGTTTACGGTTTTAACGTTCCCTTCATTGTTTGGGTAATGTAGGTGACCTTCTCGCCTCACGCACTTCTGCATCCTAAGATATTGCTCTTTCCAAAGGTTTCTGATAAAGAATCATTGTTAAGTGCTGCTTGCTTTTAAACTGGGCTGAATAAAGTAAACGATTTCCAAACTCTATTCTGAATTTATTTTCTCTTCATTCATTTCAAGCTCCTGTAAGCGAACGCTGCCAAATGTGTTGATTTCCGCCTTCACAATTCCCTTCCCTTGACAGGTGAGTAAGCAATTGAAAGTGGTGCCAAACTCATACATCTAAAAAAACTTAAGTGCAACAAATAGACTTTTGTTTAAAGTATGCATATAACTTTCCGGAGCTTACATCCACATCTAGACCTTCCTTGCCCAGGGGACTGCTAGAAGTAACATCCGCTACCCTATGCAATTGACTGTGGAAGTGTATAATCCCAAGGGGAAGTGCCATCTCACACGGAATAAAGTTTTACCCTTTATAGTCAATTTTGGTACTTTTGCTGGATTATTCCCACCGGAGAACACTTTTCCTCTTCTCATTCACTGGAACGAAAATAAAAGCCTTTTTACTGCAGTTAGTGTTGATACTCCCCTAAGTGAATATGAAGCGGATGCAAGGATAGGCACCCTGAATTTTTATAAAGTTATTAAAAAAATCATTCCACCAAAATTCACACAAAGCTTAACCTCAATGAAACCTGGTAGGTCTTTTCAGTTGTAAAATCGCTCTCTTTCAGTACTGTCCTGGCTGAAATGGAGAGCTTAATCATGCAGAAATTCCATGGGATGTCATTGAGCAATGGAATTTGTGCCAAGAAAAATTTTTTACTTAGTAATTACCCATTTAAGTATCTGGTGAATATCCTTGTCAATGTGTCCATCTGGTGAGCATATTACTCAAATATTTGTGGTAGAATAATTGCTTTTAGGAAATTTTCTAATAAGGTGAACCTCTTCTAAGAACAGTACCAGCAAATTGGGTGTTCTATTCCTCAAAGTCTGGCACCAGCTATTCTTCATTAAAAGTAGCTTAACATGCTCAGTAATTGCAAAGCAAGCAAAATAAACTTTTACGATTGGCAAACTCAACTAATGTGCTATCTGTAGACCTGGATCTCCGCCCGCACACCACCTTATGGGAACATTTTTACTGCCCACATTTCTTTGTGCTTTAAATCCCACACTTTCTGCACAGTAATATTGTGTTTTTCAGTTTTGGGTCATGAATTCATAAATAAGTCAATGCAAAAAGCTAACAATTTCGAGGGAATCTGTGAAACAACAGCTAGTGTTGATTATATAGCTAAGAAATCTTGAAGGGCAATAAAATAATGTCGTAATTTACTGCACAACGAAAGTGTCGAAGGATGTGAAACAAGCAATTGTAACACCCATACTGCATATCCTGGTGTTTCGCTAGCTCACCATTTTCGCGGGCTGTAAGTAAACTTTTCCTGACTGCTAGACTCTATTACACTAAAAGGGAACACTGGTGTCATCGATAAGCAAACCTCTTCAAAATGTGCAATGGACATGAATTTGTCGGTTGGATGCCGCTCTGACTTCTCACAGGAGGAGAGCATTCGTTGCAAGTGTCTCAATCACAAGGGCCTCCCTGAAGGATGGTTATGTGAAAAAAATGTCAATAGATGGAGACTAGAATAGGAACAATGCAAATAAATCATAAAAGTTGACTATTATAGCTGCGCGGAACATCGAATCAAGTACTCAAATCTCCCCTACGCATACAGAATTGGACACGTAGAGGACGAAGCATTTCGAAATCCTATCGTTAACTTATCATCCCTAGGAACGCTACAATGGTATTTTTGAGAAGATAATAGAAGCGAAAGAGTAAAGCGGGTTCGTAAAAGTGCATCTTTTGCAGTCAGAAAAAGCTAAAAGACATTAAAATTCCAAACAATAAGAACTAAACCACTCCTGCTGCATCAAATTTAGCAACTTCTGCTGAACTTATCCACTTCACATAGTCAATTTATGCTGATTTTCAAATACAAGCCAGCAAAACTAATGCTCTGGTTAAATTTTAGCAACTGAATTGTACATTTTTAATAATGAGCCACTTTTAGATGTTTCCCACTTTGCAAAATTTGTTGTATTTGAAGTCCGTTTTTTTGCTCTGTAATGACTTACACCCAGTCTTAATATCCAACTCCTGCCTCAGTCAGACGGACATCAATTTTAGGTAGAATTAGGATGAGTTTACTTTAAAAGTTGCCAGTGATGGGACTTCTTACATATGCTTCAGCAAAGGGATTCTTCCACCACCGCTCTTAGCACCTTTTCCAGAGGAGAACTATTTGAAAAACAATTGAATAATTGAAGTTTGAATTGAACTGAGACATGCCCTTCCTTTCCAGTTAGTCCGCTGACGACGTCACCAATGTAGCTCCCAAATCTCGTTACCAGACGTAATATATGCAAAGGACTTCAATTCTTCAAGGTGACAAAATAAATTCCAATTTTTTTGTCCTACGAGGTGTGAAACCTAAAAATAATCTGCGGAACAAGCTACCCTTCACACTTTGTTCGAGGGTATTAAAAGGGCTGATTGGGTCTCGCAGCTTAATCAGGAGGATTTGTGATACCTCATACATTACTACTAGTCGCACACTACGCGAGTCCAACAACTTGTGTTAGGATTTCGAATATGGAGGAGTTGAAAGAAAGCCGGTTCATTCGAATTCTCCTTAAGCGTAACTTCAATTCACTTTTGAGCATGAAAAACCAGATTGGGATTCATTCATTATCAACGAGATTTATTAAGTCTTCCACTAAAATTACACTTTGGCTATCCCTAGTCGTGAAGTAAGTGATACATGCTTTATTAAGACAAACGTCTGCAATGCTAAGGTCACTGACCAGCCTCCAGAATTTGCTCAGGTCGTTAGCAAATACCTTGGATTTGTTGACATAGCAAATATTTGTGCGGCAAACACAAGCTGGAAATCGGTACTCTTCTTACTAACTTGGTATTGTTGTATCATCAGGTGGAAGTGCATTGGCAAACAAGGCCGCACAACTCTGCAAACAAGCTTGCAGACCGAGTGCCCTTCGAACATTCACAAATGAAATCCAATCCTCAGCTTACATCTATTCCAGCTTCTTGGGATCCCTCTGAAAGGGTAAATTCCCCACTGTCAAGTTCCATTCTACCCTATGCAAGTGCGTCGCTTTGAACAATGGGAGATGTGTCAGACCGGATCTGGCTTTATGAGACCACGAAGCGCTTGGACCTCAGAGTGGCAAATTCTACCCCTTCCACCGCAGTATAAGTTGATTTATGCCATCTCCATGCTTGTTGGTTAGGGCTGCACTGTAATCTCGACAATGAAAATAAACACAAAATGTTGGAAGTGCTTATGATAGAAGCTCGGTGGGACCACATTTTGTACATATTTAAACATTCATTGTTTCTGAACTACAAGCCACAGTGACGAACCTGTCGTCTAATGAGACACTGGGTTGATAATGATGGGATGTGGATGTGTTTCTCCATGGATAATATCCAAGAATTTGGCTTCTTGAGAGATTCTCTTCTGATGTCTACACCATTGCATTGGCGAATGTGGTGTGTCCAGGATGGTGTGCCTCAGATTATCCATTGCAGGTATATAATTAAATGACCTTGTAAAGGTATCATTTGGGGGAGAATGCAAGCACTTGTGTCACAACCGGTAACGACGATTCGCAAAGTGTTCTACTTGTAGACCAGTTTGCAGAGTTACTATATTGTTAAAATGAAGTAGATGCAAGCATTTGCCCTCACCACAGTGTTGCCTTTCCTCCGTGTAGTTCAGCCCACGTTTCGAAATAAGTTAAGTTGCCGGTATGAAATGCGGAATACGCAGTTGATTCATGTAAATATTTAAATTTGCAAATGTGACAAGGTATTATCATTGACGCCCATGTGTTTCGTGCTTAACATTCTCCCAGATACGGCAACAAAATGATTAGCTGCGCATGCGGCCTAGAGGGCACAATTACCTCTCCATCAGATGTTGGGTCGACCGCCAAACAACTGCATCTGCCTTCTCTAATGCACTCTAGTGGTGGCCAATTTACTTGCGAAACTCAGTCAAGTCGCCCACATGCTGTACACGTTCTCGCGTATCGGTGCCTCCACCTGGGTCCATTGGTGTGGCCAATCCAGAGTTTGGCTTGACTGTGATTGTGGAGCACATTTCGCAAAACTCATAAATTTGTGTTGATAAACTCGCATTTGAATGACCTTCACAGAACGTAAAGCTAGCCACTGCGCAGCACAAGTAACGATTCAACGTAGAATCGCCTTCAGTTGGTTACCCACGTGAACTTGGTGAATTACCCCACATTAGACAATTTGCCATTGCACTCGATCTCACGCAATCCCCAATTTCAGCCTTGTGTTTATTCTCATATCAAAGAAACTTTTCATGTTACTGCAGCTGATGAAATATAAGAAATTATCCTCTTTACTCTTTCTTGCCCCTTCGAGACTGATTTTCGTCTACATGGGTTTAACAGATGTTGGAGGTCAAAAATTCGTGCGGTTTTGGTAGATCTGACCTCAGCTAGGGAATGGAATGCGCAATGACTTGGAAAATGCAAACGACAATTAATAGAGTAGGCATTATAAGGCGCAAATGCACAATATTTTCTCGCGGTGTGGCTCTTTATTGTGCTCTCTACAAATTTCGCCCCAAGTGGAGTCCTTGTTAATTGTTGGTGGATGTGACTTTGGGATTTTCTACATCATAAACAGGGTTCCTTGTTATTTCACAGCTACGAAAATTACCAGACAATTCCATTCCATGGAATTCGAGGTAGGTGTGGTAGTCGAACTTAACAGCTGGACATCATCTTATAGTTTGCATGCCTCTGATCCATCATTTAAACACTACATGGGGGATTTGCTCTTTTGCTACGTTGGAACAGAGGCAGGAAAGACAAATTTGCCTCGTTCTCATTCCTTGTACCCTCCTGTCCACATGTCTCCAGGAGACACAAATCGCGCTTTCTTGGGATTGGTATCGGACAATCACACGTTGACATTCACAATGGAAAAGACAGATGGAAATCACGGCGAGATGGACGCGGGGGTGTATAAGGATGGGCACATATTTGCAAATTCTCAAGACAATTTTTTGTGCATTAATGTGGGATGGACTGAGGGCCTAACGCATGGCCTGGAGACTATGCCGCTGAGCTGAAACACAATGATCATGCTCCCCAGTGATCGCGCAGACAACACCATAGCCTAGACACAAACAATGAAATCATCACACCACTTAGCCACGTTTGAAGAGGTCTCTAATGCATCACATAATGATCACGTTTTTTTACCTGAAAATCGCATTCAAGCCCACGTCGCCTCTGTCCCTCCATCCAACTATGCCCTCAAAGATTCTCACACTGAAAATGGCATTTGTGTGCACAATTAGGGCCATTCAAGTATCTTCATCCATTGAGGGCAGCCAAATTCGCTTTGTGAAGGCAGCATAGTTGCCAATTCGCTGAAGCAGCTGCCAATGGCGATTCTTTAGAGCCACTGAGGTTTGAATGGATTTCGAGAAGTATTTCGTCGCGCAGCCCTTTCCCGTTTTCGCATTCAATGCAACCACCACAAATGATGCTTGATTCTGAGGCAAGTGCCTTGCAATGACCCTCAGTGCTTTTAACATATTTTCCATACCTGTACACTTTTAATTGTTTGCAAAGTCGAAAACACAAGCGGTGCTCCCGATCTCGGCTCTATCCGCCGTGAGTAGAACGCCATGATGTTGCACTTCTACAGAAAATTGTGAATCAACACAAGAAGCCAGAAATAAGGTGTGGAGTAATGCTTTAGTTAAATCCAGCTTTCATTATTGCGGGTGGAAGTAAGGCATTGGCTTATTCCCCTTTCATACCTACCTGGCTCAAGTCCGTGCAAATGGCCTGCCGGTGAAAATTTTATGCTCAGCGAGACGAGTAGCTTATTGCTGCGCACACATGGGAACACGAGCGAACGTGGGACAAAACTAAACCGAATTTGCTCCTTGCAATATCTTGTAGCTAGAGGAGCAGTTGAGTGGGGCTGAGGTGAGGGATCCAAACGCAAAATATCGCAGAGGCACTCATCCAACCATGCCAAGTGACTGATGTGTGTGTGAAGTTAGAAATCCTCCGTATTTGAAAACATTCAGCCTTATCATATAACAGCTGTACAAAACTCCACCTAATCAGCATAATTGAAAGTGCACAAATTCATATGATTACATCCGCAAAAAAATCGCCAATGTTTGACACTCATTCTAAAGCAGATGATTACCTTTTGTAGAGGGTTGCGATACAGATAGAAAATAGAAGTGATTTAAGCCTCAAGCAATAAGGGACCTCCTTCGATTGCTTGATTGATCCCACTTACGCAAGTATTCCCCCAGAATGATTTGAAATGAACTCGTCTCTGGCATTCAGGATGAGCATGGCTAGTCAAACGAGGCTGTAAGTTAGATTCTCACACCACGCGAGCAATCGCATATCTGGAAGATTATGAAGAAGAATCGGAATTGGGCTCATTTCGAGAAAAATGAGATGTGAATTTTGCTAAGCAGCGACATTTGCAGAAACAAAATGCGAAAAAAGCATTACAGCAACCGCATAAACTTTGATGAGGCATCAAGAAATGGACTAGTGAGCAGAACGATATTGGTTAAAGATTCGTATTCAACAAAGAACCACTTCCTTTAGGGAAAGGAGACAAAAGGAGGTGAAGTTTCGTAGGAGTGTTTCAAAAACACAACAAATATGGAAAGGTGATAACACTTTAGTCTGAGTTATTAAACAGACCGTTGATGTGACATGCTTTTGTGCGATTTCCAAAACCTTAATCCAATTTAACCTTCACGTTATTCTTATTCTTGAAGATTCCCATCAACCACCCTAATGTTTCCTCCCTAATCGAGAGGGGCAAATCTGTTCAGTGAATGCACTCAGTTCTCACTTAACCAATGACACAGTCCCACCGCGCAGTTCTCGTTTCCACCTTCCTTACTGTCCTACCATTGACCGTCTTACAACGCTTTTCAGCACATAATTCGTCGCACACTTTTTGTAAGACAGTCTTTCATTCCTCTTGCTTGACTCTGTGTCGATCTCCTCAGTTTCTTCTTACAATACAAACAACCATTCCAAATCTGCGGTTGCGGGTGTTAAACCTCACCAATCCATGGAGAATATCCCACCATAAGTAAACCACGAATGTTCAATGCGCAGTGAACGAAGACTGGATGATGTGAACACTGGCGTGCCTTCTTCGACAATCCCCAAAGCGCACGTCCTTCGAACTGGTCATTCTCAGGCAAAGCATGTTCTCTTGACTGGAGGAATTCATTACATTTCGCAGATAATCTCTTTGATAGAGGAGGGTCTTTACGTACTCCCTTCCATTTGATGCACCAAAGGCATTTATGCGTGTATGCATACATGACTACAAACCAAACACGCACACCCGTACTTACTGTTCATTCAAGTGGTATTCCCATTCATTCTGCTTGATTAAAGCCAATTTTAATGCAAGTGTAGGGGCCAAATGAGGTCACCGATATTTACGGGTTTTAGGGTTGGCCTCGTTGTTTAGGGAAGAGAGGCGACTGTCTCGCTTCACGCACACTTTAAGCCCAAGGCACTCTCATTTCTAAGTTGTCTTATGTGCAAATTCAATATTAGCTGCAGTTTACTTCACAATTGGGCTGATTCAGATGATTTCCACACCCTAAGTGAATTCCTTGCCCCTGTAAACTAATGATGCGAAATATACTGCTTTCATCCTTTGAAATTCCCTTTCCTTGACACATGAGAAAACATCTGAATGTGGTACTTTACTTGTACATCTGAGTTAACGTGGGCGCAACAAATGGATTTCTGCTTAAAGTGCACTCGTAACCTTCGCAACCTCTCACTAACCCCTGCCTGGTTCACTCACCTTATTGCTGACAGCTTCTTTCATTCACCACGAGAGCTTCCGTGCCTTGGGTTGTACTAGGAGAAAAAACTGCTACTCTGTGCACTTTATTTTCGGCGAAGATAATCCTCAAGTAAAACGTCACTTCACACAAAATAGTTATATTGCCTAAAAAGACGGTTTTTTGTTTTGCTGTTTTGGTAACTTTCTTTCTGTTCTCGCTCGTT